TTTACTTGCAGATGTCCAAACACCTCTGTTTGTGCCCTTCTGTGAGTTGTTTTGATGCCCATCTTACACACACTTTTTTGAAGCCCAAGTCTGTCGTGGATTATTTCATAGGCAGAGTCATGGATGATTTGCAAATGATTTGCCACATAATCCACTGTCACTCATCTGTTTGACAGAATCATTTCACATGCACGATCAATGTTGTCATCAGCTGTGGATGTGGACAATTTAATTTAACTGGAGTGTGGATAATTTTTGACTCACCCTCACAAAATTAAATAACAGAACCCTTTTTAATTTATCAATCATAAGTATTTATCACCAAGTTTAAAGTAGAATCTATCTATCTTATCTTATTCCAGTTGAAATTCTTACATGTTTATTAATTTACGCATGCAATTTTAAAATTTGAAAATAATCTTTAGGGCATCTATTTTTTGGTAAAATGATGTAAAACTTGCATGGCTTTCTTAATTATGATTACGTTGAAAGAAACTTTGTGTTTTTTGAGTTCTGGAAAGTATATACATGACTATGAACGAAATGTTTTCACCGAAGAAGGAGCAGTTAGGTCTTGAGATGTAAGTGGTGCTTTATAATGTAAAATGTCCAAGCCAGAAGATTTCTGGCATAATTGCACATATCTTGAGGGTTTTAATTTCATTTTTAATTCCTTTCCATTTCATTCTCCCCAATAAATATATCTTGCCATTCCCCATATTAAACACCTCATTGGTTTTGAGTTTACCTATTTTCTTTCCAAAGCATCTTTCCCATTTGCTTCATTGTAGTCTTACCTGTTCTTTTCATCATTCTCTTAGATTTGGCTCCTGGAAATTCCTCAGTTAACAGAGACCACATATCACATATTAAGGTAGACACTGAGTTGTTGTTATTATTGATGTCAAGTGCTATCAGATCTTTCTAACTCATAGACACCCTGTAAAGGGTTTTGGAATGGGTTTCAGAGACTGTAAATCCTTATTCCCAAGGAGTGGCTGGTGGGCTTGAACCACCGATCTTGCGATTAATCCGCATCAACAGGGTCCTTGATCCTTGATTTAGGTATGTTGTTGTTGTTAAGTGCCTTTAAGTAGGCTCCCACTCATAGTGACCCTATGCACAACAGAAGAAAACATTTCCCAGTCCTGGGCAATGCTCACAATTGTTGTTAAGTTTGGGTCCTTTGTTGCTACCACTGTGCCAATCATCTCATTGAGTGTCTTACTCTTTTTTGCTGACCCCCTGTTTTGCCAAGCATGATTTCCTTCTCCAGGGACTGCTCCCTTCTGATAATATGTCCAAAGTATGAGAGACAAAGTCTCGTTTATCATCCTCATTTCTAAGAAGCATTCTGGTTGTACTTCTTCTAACACAGATTTGTTTGTTCTTCTGGCAGTTCATGGTACTTTTAACATTCTTCTCCAACCGACTGATTACTATAAGAACAAGCAACTTGCTTGCCCAGAAGACATCAAGGCAAGTGGTCAGGTTCCCTCAGGGCAAATCTCCTTCTAAGACTAATACTCAATGGGAATACATGCTCTTATTGGTGACCACGGTCACTACTGATAAGGGGAAGTGAGGGAAAAACAGCAATGAAGCGTGAACTAAGCCCTACAACATTCAATAGATGCCTGTGAACACAGGTGGAGACCTGGTTGGCCAGCAGTGTGGCAAGACCTGGGGACTCTTGGGCCCAGAGTCACTAAAATAGCCACAGAAGACTAGAGTGAAGAGTGAAGCATCCAGCAGATAAGAAGAGAGGGCATATGCACAAGAACACCCACACTTTCAGATAATACCCACTTGACCTGGCTTCAGTGGCTGGATGATCAGAGCTCAATTAGAAGAAGAAAGAAGAGGGAAAAAAAAACAGTAATCTGATAGAATTTGATGAACTTGACCTAACCTATGGATGCAGTAGCTCAAAAGAGGGAACAAATCTTTATAGCAAGGATCATTCCCACCCCCTCCACACACACAGAGTAGACAGGGATGGGCAACTTGGACATTGGCTACCCAAAATGGGGGCGGGGGGTCTACAAAGGCAAGAAGTGACTGGCCTACAGGCTTTCAAGAGGGAACCTAGATCCAGAGGGCATGGAGGAAGGTAGAATCTCTGCTGAGTAGTATCCAGTCTGTCTAGGCAGGGCTGATGAAAGAATATGTAGACAGATAGGTCTCTTGTGATACAATAGTGAATAATTGTTATCAGGACTGATTGTGAGGGTTGGAAATGTAAAGGTAGCTGTTTTGTAGCAAAAGGAGGGGAGCGATTAACTTTGCAGTCTAGGAGTGGAGGTCCCTGGGACCATCAAGGGAGAAGAGTGGAGAGCCGGACCCTACCCAGAGAAGCAGTGATGCCAGAGATGGAGGCGGAGATGAGGACGTGGAGAGATGGAGTGGCTGGGGACTTTAGATCCAGAGAAGGAGGAGAGGGGCTGTGTGTTGATGACAGGGGTGAGGGTAGGGTGGGAGGGCAGGCTTGCAGGGTATACTCTTTGGTTGGTTGATGATGCATGGAGGGATTGTAACCATGGCAATGAAACGATATATATGATAGGATGAATGTAAAGCTAATGTTCTCCCATGTAAACTATCACATAATTCATAATAAAACATTTAAAAAACCATTCTTCTCCAACACTTTAATTCAGATGCATAGATTCTTCTCTGCTCTTCCTTATTCATTGTTCAACTTTCACATGCATATGAGGATATTGAAAATACCGTGGCTTGGGTCAGGGACACTCTAGTTCTCAAAATGGCATCTTTGCTTTTCAACTCTTTAAAGAGGACTTATAATAGCCCAATAAGGAGCTCTGGTCATGTAGTGGTTACGAATCGGGCTGCTAACCTCAAGGTCGGCAGTTCAAAACCACCAGCTGTTCCGTGTGAGAAAGATGAGGCTTTCTGTTCCTGTAAAGATTTGCTGCCTCAACTATGAGTCGGAACCAACTCCACAGTCTTAACAACAACAACAACAACATGTAGCCCAATGCAATCTGTGGTTTGATTTCTTGATTGCTGCTTCCATGAGCCTTGATTGTGGATCCAAGTAAAATGAAATATTTGACAACTTCAATCATTACTCCATTTATCATGATACTTCTTGGTTCAACTGTGAGGATTTTTTGCTTTTTTTACATTGAGGAATACAGTCTTATTTCCACAAACATTTCTAAATTAGCATGAAGAGTCAACTGGAAGTAAAAAAAAATTAGCCAATGGAACCTCCTTTTAAACACTTGGAAGGTGAGGACAGCACAACATTCATTCTTGCACCATGTAATAATTAATGCTAAGCATTCTGAGGCCCTTGTTGCTGAGATGCTGTGATAAATGTGCTAAGTATCATTATCTTTTGTACCTTTAAGTGAGGACCTCTCAAAATGCATCTCTTAACAACAGAGCTATATAATGTGAAGAAGTTTAATTTGCCAGTTTCCTAGTTTGGCAGATCCTTCATTTAGTTTATTTCTTAGGCCTATGGACACAAAACCCTATTCACCAACTTCAGAAAACAAACCCAAATCACTCTGTGAGTGAAGAGAAAGGTCGGGAGCATTGTGTGGAAATAATGGAAAAAAGAGTTCTTTCAAATGAAACAAAACAACAGTTAGAGCAGTAACTAAACTGTAAATCCCCTATCTCTACCCTCCAGACCACATCCCAACTGAATCCAGCAGTACCCCGCCCGTCCGTAGACGTATAGGGCTCCTGATTGAGCGCTCAGATACAGGACATATATTCAGGCGTGTTTCCCTTCACTATTGGGTGTCAGTTTAGCCTGGTGTTCAGGTTATGGAATCTAATTGGAGTTTCAATGTGTAGGATCTACTCCCGGGGTATTGGCAAGATTGAGAAGGGTAAGGTAAACGTCTGGCTGTAGGGACTGGGAAGGCCCAGGGGGAAGAAAGTAGAGAAGTCGCGGGGAGCTTAAGTCTAGTTTTCTTTAGTGTCACTCACCTGCCCCTCTAGGAAGTTACGGAAAGACTTTATCTGGAGAGGGACAGCCCTAGGGACACAACTGGGATAACCGGTATTCCCGGTAACTGTCGGTCATTTAGAGGAGCACGACGGGGAGGCACGCCTGGAGGGAGGGAGACAGCGTGGTAGAGGGAGAAGGGAGGGTGGTGAAGGGAAATGCTTGGGATGCTTCCTCCTCCCAACACCTGTAAAAAAGATTTGGCGATCTGTGTTTTGACCTGGGGTGCGTCATTAACTCGCTGAGGGACTTCACCTTTCCAAGTCCTCACTAACTCCAGTGTAATAGGGCTGGGCTCTTATATTTGCGCCTCTTACTGTCCTTTGATTCTCTTTCTTGAGGGACACCCCGCTGTGAAGGCTTGGGAAGGAAAAGCATTTTCGGCTGCCGGTGGGCAGGAATTGAAAGACCAGGGAAACAGCCTCTGTGAAATGGATATTTACATATACATTTTAAAGAAAACAAAAAAGGAGATCCCAAACCCTGGCTGGACCCTTTGCACAGTGGCCATACAGTTGTCGCCCCCTCCCTCGAACGCCCAAGTAGTGGATGCGAAGCAATTCCCTAAAGCACTAGCCGCTTCGCTTTGCGCGAAACTAAAGGACCGACTAGTGGAGTCCAAGCCTGTCTTCCTCTTCCCATCCCCCCTCCTCTCCGACTCCTTTTCCAGGGCTTCTCGGCGGGCAAGAAAACCCGGCGAGTGGAGTCAACCAAGGAGAAGGCTCCGCAGCCCATGCAGGTTGTTTGTGGCTTGTAGGACTCTAGCGTCCACCGCGGGCAGCTCTTAAGGCTAGGGTGTGGAGGGCCGCGCACTGCGCAGGGTCCGCTGGAGCCGGGCTGCGCGCCGCGGGGACGTTCGGGCAGCCGCTGGAGAGGGGGCGGCTCCGAGTTGGCGCCGGCCAGAGGGAGCTCCGCCCCCGGCCCGATATAAGTGTGGGGCCCGGCAGGAGGCTGGCGCTGTAGTTGCGGAGTGCTAGGGGCGTCGGGCCTTTCTAGGAAGGCTGTGTGAAGTCCCCCTACACGCTTCTATAAGGCTTTTCCTTTCCAACTTCAGCTACAGTGTTAGCTAAGTTTGGAAAGAAGATTTTTTTTAAAAAAGATCCCTGGGCCGTTTGTATTTTATTTGTCATTGCACTCGTTGGGGTCTTTCAGCACTCGGCTGTTGTGCATTTAGTGGTGCTATCGTCTGTTCTTTGCACTCCTGTTAACAACAAACACCTCAGAAGAGCAGCACCATCAACAGTAGCAGCAGAAGAGCAAGCGGGGGGCGTCTGGTGTCATGAACCGGGCGAGAGATCCAAACCGCCAGGGAGGATGCTGTGGTGAGTTGTGTTGACCAATGCTTGTGGTGGAAACACACATTGGGCTTTGAGGACAAGCAATTCCTCCATGCAGGTTTCAGGGTAATGTGGCTTCCCTGTGATCCGAAGGGCTCTGTAGCTCTGAAACGCCTCGTTTCGTGGTGCTTTCACATAGGCAAGGATATAGTGGTTTGGCCACTTTGTGTTGTCTTGCATTATTTAAAAATGAAGTTAAAGAATGTTGAAACAAGAACTTTCTTCACTGTATGTGAAGTTAGGCAGTTAGTGGCCAATAGGTACTGCTGAGTAGTAGTGAGTAGTAGTTAGTAATTGCAATGCATCCACTCCTAGGTGACTTGGTAAAATGTACACACTTATCCCACAAAATCGTTTTAATAAAAACAAATGATAAAATATTCTAACATCAACTCATTCAAGTGACTAAATATACTTATTACCTTTTCCTCCTGTGTCCCTTTGCAGGTTCCTTTACAAGCTACCTGACCTCTGCAAAATTCCTTCTCTACCTTGGCCATTCTCTGTCTACCTGGGTAAGTGAGATGTGCAGTAATGCTTGCAACATATGTTACACAATATCATGTTGCTTCTTTGAGGCCAGTTGTATTACGCCAACTTACAGTTTTGTCATACACTTAAATAAAATCACCCAATGAAATGATGAAAAAGTTATTTTCACTGAAAATGTGTTCCCAGAGGTATGAATAAAAAATAAAATTGACAAATATCCAAAGACAGGGTTAACAGGATGGGGATATTTATGTTGTTTATAATTTGTATGCTTAGTAAAATGGTGATAATTACTATTAAGAATGGATGAGTGTCTCATGCCTTGTATTCTTTTAGTTGTCGCTAAGTACCGTCGAGTTGATTCTGACCCATAGCGACCCTGTATAGGGTTTCCAAGGAGCAGCTGGTTACATGCTAAGATACTGCTTCTTTTGTTAAAATTTAATTCTAGCTTGCTCTACTGTGGGAAATACTGTAGAATGGTGGAGTGACTGTGGCTATAGGCTAATAATAGCAATGGAAAATTAATTTAAGGACAAATACCTGAGTGACAAAATTAATGTTGTTGTTAAGTGCCTTCAAGTCGGTTCTGACTCAGAGTGACCCTGTACAGGGTTTCCGAGGAGTAGCTGGTAAGCTTGAACTGCCAATCTTGTGGTTCAAACAGATCTTGCAGACCAGTGCATTAACCCACAGCACTACATTAGCTGTCAACAATTAGCCATGTGTGAAAACTATCATCCAATGAACTAAATGGTCTTAAAATGAGCAACTGATTCATAATTCTTCCTCTGACTTCCTGTGTGGTCTGGGAAGAATCTCAGTGTTTCGGTGGGCCTGGGTTCGGCCCTTCCTCAACCAAAATAACACCAAAAAGGAATGATTTCAAAACCTTGAAAATTAAACAATTATTTTTTGTTTGAAAGCAATAAATAGAGGGATATTCCATTCATGCCTTATATGAAGTATTTAATTGAAAAGAACCATAAGTAAGGAGAAAGAATTTTTAGAAGACATATTATGAATGCCATTTTTAAAAAAAAAACCCAGAAAACTTTGATTTTATTGTCCTTAAGACGTGAATGCAAGCAATTTTATAAGGAAATCTGTACCCATGTCCTTGGGAAATTATTAAACTAGGTTATCGGCTGTCTAAGAAATAGCCGTCCTAGACAGCTATTTAGAAATGCAAGCTCCTATCTTCCCAGAGGCCAAGACAGGGATGACTCTGCAAATTTATGTAAACAAAGTAGAATTGGTATGAGTTGTTTCTGTTCCAAATAGCTGGTGGTTCTATGTAGAAATCTAGTGAAATTATCCTTAATAAATCTAAACTAAGTGTGTTCTTCCCAATTTAACTTACCACGTTATTATGTGTTTAGAAGAGTCACAGGGTAGCACCATTAATTGCTCAACTGCTAGCCCAAAGCCTGGCTATTTTTTTGAACCCATCCTGAGGTGCTTTGGAAGAATGGCCCAGCAGTCTGCTTCCAAAAGGTCACAGCCATGAAAACCTATGGAGTGTAATTCTACTCTGAAAACACACAGATACACCATGAGTTGGAATAGACTGGACAGCAACTGTTTGGTGACTGGTTAAGTATTAGAGGACCAATAGCAGGTGGTCAAAATAGTATTCAAAATTATCATCTTGTGTCCAGGACTTAGCTCTTTGAGAAAGAAGGTACCTCACTTTCAAGTACTAACTAAGTTTAAGATTTGGATAATGGGTTGGGAGGTCAGATTTGTTAAAAATGGATGAAACTATGAGATAAATTTTTGGCTTGCTAATTAAAAGTTATATAAGAAAAATGATAGGTGCTTTGTAGGTTAAACTAGAAGAAAGCAAAGGGAGCAAGTGAGAGAAAATTGGATCAAAGAAAAAAGCAACTGTCTAGGGTTTGTTGTGAAGTCCAGTAGAGTTGATTCTGACTCATAGTGGCCCTGTATAGAGTTCCCAAGGAGTGCCTGGTAGGTTTGAACAGCCAACTTTGCAGTTAGCAGTCTAGTGCTTATCCTACAGCATCACACCAAGAGTCTGTGTATGGTTTGTTGTTGAGTGCTATCGAGTTGGTTCTGACTCAAAACAACCCTGCATAGGGTTTCGGAGGAGCAGCTGGTGGATTTGAACTGCTGACCTGTGGTTCACAGTCCAGTGCTGATACTACAGCGTCACACCAGGTTTAGTGAACTTTTATTTCTCGCTGTAAAGGAGAACAAAAGGAGCAATGCTCTCTAACCCCTGGCTATCCCACTTTTGGGTTTTGTTTCTTGTATAGCATTCTGCCTTTGTTTATAACAACAAAGTATGTATTTTAATATGTTTAAGCGCACACATCTATCTGTGTATCCCGCTGGTGCCTCTGCTACATCATGGCTCCCTACACATTGACCATGGGGTTATCTATCTCAGGCGAGGTTTGTGTGGAATTGAATGCTTTTCATTTCTGACTTAATTTCTGTCTGATAATGGATCAATACATCTCCACTGTGTACCCTAGAAGTATATCAAGGAGCTTATAAGTATAATTTTATATAACCCACTGCCATTGAGTTGAAAAAATATATGTGACAATGAAAAGATCACGAGCAGTTTAAAAAGGGGAGCCAGCTGCTTTATTCCAGAGATAAATCTTAAAGTCATTTTACTATGGACTGTCTCTATGTATACCTCAGATGTCTGTACAACTCCAGCCCTCACTGAGTTCTTGTCTCTGCTTACAGAGGTATTCTGTAATCACCTCTCAACTCCGCCTTTCTTTATTTTTCCTCAGAGCACTTACTACTGTCTTACTTGATGTAGATTTGTTCCTGGGTCTCTGCTCTCTGCATTGTGAGCTGTGTGAAAGCATGAAACTTGATTTTTGTTCTCTGCTGAAACTCCAGTGCCTGCAACAATATTGGATACATGTTGTTGTTGTTAAGTACTGTGGAGTCGGTTCTGATTCATAGTGACCCTGCACAGGGTTTCCGAGGCTGTAAATCTTTATGGGAGCAGAATACCTCATCTTTCTTCCACGGAACCGCTGGTAGTTTTGAACTGCTGACCTTGAGGTTGGCAGCCTGACTTATAACCACACAGTAGCCTCTTTATGCATATTTATTAAGGGTTAATGACTCTGATAATTCAGTCACAATATCTGTAGGCATTCTGCTGTTCTGCTCTCAGTTCAGTGGGGGTTAATAGACATGTAAACAAATCATCAAAGTGGGGTGAAAGCCTGTGTTAAGGCCGGAAATGGAAATAAGAAAGGAATGGTGGGTTTGAGATTGTGTTTGTTCAACATTTACTTAGACTCTGATTCTTGATTTCTCTGTGTGCTTAGAATCTGTTGCTTCTTTGGAACAGATTCCCTTTGGAAATTAGGCTAACTAGAACAATTTTAGAGTCCTGCTGTGGCTCTGTAGGATATAAGCACTGGACTGCTAACCCAAAGGTGGTGGTTCAAACCCACCAGCCGCTCCTCAGAAAACCTATACAGGGTTGCTGTGAATTGGAATCAACTCAATAGCACTTAACAACAACAGTGCAATTTTATTCCTTTCCCTCAAGGAGATGGCAGGCTATACAGGGATAAGCAAGAGAGAAAACATTCGTTTAGTAGCATTTATTTTAATGGCCTGCTCTGTTGTTAACTGCTACTGAGTCAGTTTCAACCCATAGCAACCCTGTATAGGGTTTCCAAGGAGTGGCTGGTGAGCTTGAACCGCTGGTCTTGCTGTTCAAACCGTCTTGGCAGTCCAGCACATTAACCCTTAGCGACATACCAGGACTCCAAAGGAGTGGTGGTGGTGTGCCATGGAGTCGGTTCTGACTCATAGTGAGTCTGCAGAGTGTCCAAGGCTGTAAATCTTTACTGGAGCAGAAAGCCTCATCTTTCTCCTGTGCAATGACTGGTAGTTTCGAACTGCTGACCTTGAGGTTAGCAGCCTGACTTTTAACCACTATGCTACCAGAGCTCCTTATGGCCTGCTCTGTTGTTGTTGTTATGTGCCATTGAGTCTGTTCCGACCCATAGCGACCCTTTACAGGGTTTCCAAGGCTGTAAATCTTTATGGGAGCAGAAAGCCTCATCTTTCTCCCGCGAAACAGCTGGTAGTTTCAAACTGCTGATTCGCAGCTTGATTTGTAACCACTAGGATTCTGAAACAAATTCTTTTTGGAAAAAAAAATAGGAGTAAAGGAAAAACGGAAAGAAACATAATACAATAGTATTTCTTACTCCTTATTAAGAAAGAAGAAATTCACTTACTGAAGCAATGTATTATTTTGGGCATTTATGTGTTTTTGTCTTTTTCATGAGAGCTATTCAGTGGAATAGAGGTTTAGATAAATTGCTTCTCCCTCCCATCCCATTTTAAACAAATCTAAATTTTTTTTTCCTGTTAAAGATTGAGAGAAGAGTTTAATTTGCTATCCTCGTTGACATCTGTATCTAATAACTTACCTTTTTATTGGTTTCAAACAAACAATATGTGTGTCGTACATTTTAGTATTTTAGTTCTTGGTGAGGCGCTGTGGGTTAATGTGCTGGACTGCAAATTGGTTTGAACTGCAAGGTTAGTGGTTCAAGTTCACCAGCTGCTCCTTCGGAACCTAATACAGAGTTGCTATGGATCAGAGCCCACTCAATGGCACTTACCATCAAGTCCAGTGATAATTTGAATTACATCCAATTCCCACTTAAAATTTAATTGCAGACACTATTGTTCTAAGTCCACAAACATTTGTTGTGTACCTACTCTGGTCATGTAAAAGCACTGTACTGAGGGTTGAAGATGTAGCAAGTTCTAGAACCCACTTTCCAGACCATCAAGTGAAAATCAGTCTTTCAAACATGTTGTTAATGGCTTCCAGTGTTTTCTGTTTGTTTGTTTCAGTGCTTATTGAACCTTATCCATCTTATCCTCCAAGGTTCTAATTTTATGTTAATTTTAAGTTGTGGCCCAAAATTATGTTCATAATCCTCTATATCACATTTTCTTTACTTTGGCATAATAGACATTTTAGGCAGGAAAATTCTTTGTTGTAGGGAGTGCCCTGTACATTAGAGAATATTCAGCAGCATCCATGACCTGTATCCATTAGATGCCAATAGCATTCCTACCCAGTTGTGGCTCTGTGTATTAAATAACCCGTGGGAGGTAGAATCATACCTGGTTGAGAACTGCTGGTCTATATTAACCTTATTTTTATGATTGCAATTGCTGTGCACCCTTGAGTGGATTCCAATTCATGGCAACCTAATATAACAGAGTGGAATTGCCCCCATGGGGTTACCTACATAGCAATAGATCTCCAGGTCTTTCTCCTAAGGAGCTGCCAGTGGGTTTGAACCATCGACCTTTTGGTTAGCAGCTAATGATTGCAGCATCAGGACGTGTTACACGATTGCTTGTTGTTAAGTGCCATCGAGTAGAAATCGACTGATAGCATGCCAATATTGTTTCTCAGAAACAGCTGGTGGTTTTGAACTGACAACCTAGTTGGTAGCAGTCCAGTTCTTATCCTACAGCGCCATACCAGAATACCTAGCTTGCATCAATTTAAGTTTTGAGTGCATAAGATTTTTTTTTTTTGCCTTTATTAACTTTTAATGATATTTTGACATATCAAGATAATACTTTGCTTGTCATGTGTTATGTTTATCAGGACTATGTTAACAAGTTTTGGAAACACTAAGAGTGTAAGAACTTCCACATAAGGTCAAATCTATGAATAACCCAATCAGGAGATTTAGTTTCTTGTAGTGATTTCCAGAAGTAAATTGTTAAAAGGATGGGGCTTAAAGTCTCTTAGTAAAAAGTCCGTTGTTGATTTCCTATATATTATAAGGTGTCAGGTTTTGCAAATTTCCCTACAGACTCTGGAATCTGTGTGAAAAAAATGTATTTTTTCCTTTGCTCTTTCAAAATATATCTGAATTAAAATATTACATTTTAGTTAAACTAAATACTGCATTTAGATAAAATAAACTATATATTTAAATTCATTTCTGATACCTAGGTTCATGTTGTGCCAGAATTTGCCAATATCAAGTTCATCTTTCTAATTGCTCTGCTATGGGTGACTTTGAAATTTATTTAATAAAGCATAATTTCTAGAATGTAAACAAAGCCTTAGAAATCATGCAGCCTATTTCTATAGCTTTATAAATAGAACAACTCGCTTTTTTCTATACATTAAAGACATACTAATGTTTGTGAGGGAGCATAGTGGCTCCATGTGAACCACAAGGTCCATAGTTCAAGACCGCCACCTCTTCTGTGAGAGAACAATGAGGCTTTCTGCTCCCTCTAAGATTTAAAGTCTCAGAAACCCTATACAGGGTCACTATGAGTCAGACTGACTCAGTGGCACTTAACAACAGCAACGATGTTTGTGAGCTATACTGTCATTTATTTCTGGTTCAGTAGCTAACAACTTTATGTGTCTCCAACATCAGGATGGAGTCTGGGTGTGGTGCTGTGGGTTAATGCTCTGGACTGCAAAGTCTGTTTGAACCATATGGTTGGCAGTTCAAGCTCACCAGCTACTCCAGGAAACCACCCTATACAGGATCGCTATGAGTTGGAACCGATTAATGGCACTTAACAACAACAACATCATCAGGATAGGCAAATTCCAGGCCCAAATAGAAGCCTGGCACACAAAGGGAAAAGGTTTTGTCTCAACAGACCTTCTTGGGGTGGGAAATTACATTTCTCTAGAAAGATAATGAGTTTATGTGTGTTTCATTAATATCACGACTTTTAGAGTTTGCTTAGTAATTGGGCAAGAATTTTTACCTTAGTGCCAGGATGAACAACTTTAACACCTACTCGGTTTTCAGTCAATACAAGAATTGTTGACTTTGAAAGTCTCATGATGTAGCTGGAAAGTGCCCTTTTGGTAAGAAAGCTACTTCCTGAATACAACTGACTAAAGAGTATTAAATGAAAATAAAAATATCTCATCAAAACCTCTTATTTTTCTATCCAAGGGAGATCGGATGTGGCATTTTGCAGTGTCTGTGTTTTTGGTGGAGCTCTATGGAAACAGCCTCCTCCTGACTGCAGTCTATGGGCTGGTGGTAGCAGGGTCTGTTTTAGTCCTAGGAGCCATCATTGGTGATTGGGTAGACAAGAATGCCAGACTTAAAGGTGAGTATTGTTATAACTAAGCCTTTATTTCTAAGGTGACCAGTACATTCTATAATAGAAGAAAAGCAAACCAAGATCAGCCATTGTGATTAGCTTACTGAGTGTCATGTATGCCCTGCCTTAACAGAACCTCTACATTGAGCGTACTGTGGCTCCTACGAAAAGTTAGGATGCCAGGACACTTAAGCTAATAAAAATTTTTTTCCCTCCAAATCTTTGGCTGTTCATAAATTCCAGATGTTAATGATGAATTAAAAAATAGAAGTTAAAATTTTTTATCCTTGTTGGAAATATTCACAACAAACCACATACCAAGTCAACAGTTTCACCGTTTATTGACATTGAGTACATTCTTCAAATTGTGCAGCATTCTCACTCCCCTTTTCTGAATTGTTCCTCCCTTACTACATCCTGGTAATTTTCTAGGAAGCATGTTAAACATGAAAGTTTACTTAGCTCTGGCTTCCTTGCTATCCTGAGTTCCTCTAGTGTTACCTTATTTTTGGAGGGGGGAAGAATCAAAAGCAGTTTATCCCAAAAATATCCAAATACAAGGAAATGTCTAAAAAGTTATTCATCAACATGCAACCTTAAAATGATCATTTTTATAAATATCAAAATATTTCATGATATGAATTTTTTAAATAAAGTAAAAAAAATTTATATATATATGTGGAAGCTCTGGTAGCGTAGTGGTTACGAATCGGGCTGCGAACCTTAAGGTCAGCGGTTTGAAACTACCAGCCGCTCCGCGGGAGAAAGATGAGGCTTTCTACTCCCGTAAAGATTTACACCCTCGGAAACCCTGTATAGGGTCGCTATGGGTCGGACCCGACTCGATGGCACTTAACAACAACAACAACAACAATATGATTTTAACAACTTGTAAATTTGTATGGCCAAAGATTAGACAAAATATGTAAAAATGAAAATAGTTTTGGTATTAGTCTAGTGTTACCTTTCTAGTATGGCTTTAATATTATCCTCTTGGTTACTATGTTTCAGATAATGGATGTGTGTGCGTGTGTGCGTGTGCCTGTGTGTGTGTGTGATGGGAGAATTGAGAACTACAGATAGTTTTATAAAGGAGAATATCTGAGCTTGCATCATCCAGAGATCTGAATTACAAGTTTTTTAGGAAAAAAGAGAAAATAACAATATAATAACATTTATTCTAGAGCATTAATACTGAGATTCTGTTTTACATGGGAAAAAGCAAAAATGACTGAGCAATTTCATTGTTAACTTAATTATCCAGGTTATTGGGCAATGTGGGTTGTTATTGACAGCACAGCCTCCCAGAAATGCTCAGTGGGTCATGGTGAGAACTGGTATATGTGCCTTAGACATTAGGGAAGACTGAGTTAGTGTTAGTTTCTTTCAATGACTCTTTCTGGATGCAGAGCAAACTGGATTACCAAGCTCTAGGATTTGATGCTATTAAAAATATGGTTAAGACAAACATTTTTCTGTTTTGAGAATGGGTAGACCAGAATGCATATAGAAAAAATTAAATTCCTAATTATTTACATCTTCATTTATAGGAATCTAAAAATATAATACATAGAAAACTTTAGCCTTGAAATTGTGATTGCAGGGTAGGAAAGAATGCTGAATTGGATGAAGACGTTGAATAACCATCTACCATTTATTCTATGTAATCAGTTTGTCACCCTTCGTGAGAAACCCTCCCTGATGTGTCTGAGTTAACCATTTCTTCCTCTGTGAGCCCATGAGACTTGGTTAATCCATACCTGTCCTATTGTATTTATATTGTTATAACTCAGTTTACATACCTATCTGTTTCTCACTCCAGGACACTAAGAACTCATTCAGTTGTTATTTAATCCTAACACAATGAATGAACACATGAATGGATGAATTATATGTTGGGATTTTATTTCAAACTACTTTCATAGAGCAGTTTGATTTGTTTTGAAGCTTTGATAAAATGTTTCAAGCTGGTGTGAGCTTTATTATTCTTGAAGACAAGAGCTGTAATTATGCTTTACATATCCAGTGCTCTATATTTTTCAAAGTATACTTACAAGTATTTTAATTGAGCATTATACTGACCCTGTAAAGTAAGAAAGGCAGGTATTACCATCCTCACCTTATAGTCATAGGCCCTAAAACACAGGGATGTTAGGTATCTTCCCATAGATCATCTACTTAGTAACATAGAAAAGACTACCAGGTGTCCTTACCTGTGCTTACTCCATATGGTTGACTTTATATAGTTGCCTCACTACCAGAAAGCTCCTATTTCCTATGAGGTATATAGTTTAGAATTTCTTAGCATATAGCATTCGTATGCTAAACAAAATACACTGCTGCTTTATTATTGACAAATTTTTGTTTGTCTTTTCTAGTTACACATACCATCATGACTTACCAGATTTATCTGGCTATGTAGGAGGTTATGGATTCCAGAACCTCCTCAACTGCCTATATAGCTTCCTACATATTCTTGTTTTAGCTAGAGCAGGCGTTGGGAACCTTTCTTCTGTTAAGGGCTGTTTGGCTATTTATAATATCACTTAATAGAAACTTACGATGCTATGAAAAAAAGCTCCTGGAGCCCTCTTGTGGGATAAAGCATTAGACCCCAAGGTTGGCTTGATCCACAAGGTTGGTGGTTCAGACTCACCAGCCTCTCCTTGGAAACCCTATACAGGGTCGCTATGAGTTGGAACTGACTTAATGGCACTTAGCAACAACAACAACATTCAGCCCGCTGGCCAGCTGTTCCACAACCCTGAGCTAGAGACATGCTTAATCAACAAACAGATAAAAGATGGACCCTCTTTATGTAATAGTTCTGATATTGTCAGTAAATTTTCAAGGGAAAAAATGAAAATTTAGTCATATGAGTAACTTCAACTGATGAAGAAAAAGTTGTGGGCACTTCATTCTGTCTACAGTTTTCACTAGTCTGGTGGCTTATAGTGGGAATAGTTAAGGTAGTGAAACAGGATTTATTCCAGGAAAGCCTTTTCTCTTGAAATGATTATGCATATGTGTTAAAATAGTACAACAGGCCTATGTGGCTAAATCAGTGCTCCTGAGTTCGGTATAGTGAACATTATGTTTTTCTTTCTGTGCAGTGGCCCAGACTTCTCTGGTGGTACAGAATGTTTCGGTAATCCTGTGTGGAATCATCCTGATGATGGTTTTCTTACATAAAGATGAGCTTCTGACCATGTACCATGGATGGGTTCTTGTAAGTTCTCAATGAGATACTTGGTTTCAGAAAATGAGGCACCTGTAGTGGTAAAAGATAAAACCCTTGGAGGCTAGTGGTGGGTCTTTGTTTGCAAATGTGACCTTTAATATTGATAGTAATAATATTGGTATGTAACTTAGCTGTTGCTTAATTTTAAGCTCTTTAGTATTAACCTGTAATTTGTTCATACTATGTAAAAAATGTTATATATATATATCATGATTGTGCTCATCTAATAGTAATTGGTATTTTTGTTTGAGAACATTAAACTGATAACTTCTCATGCTATGATTCCATGCGATCTTGAAAGAGAAGAGGGGAGGAATGTAGTGGAGTAGAAAACAGTGGGTTAGATGTTACTATTGAATCTTTTGTGCATATTTGGACTGATAATTATAGAATTTTGAAGCCTGGGAAGATGTCTGGTCTTTTATTTTATTGATAAAAAAACTAAGGCAAAATCAGGTTAGTTAATTGCCCACTGTTGTACAACTAGAAAGTATCAGAGCTCCAATTTAAATACAGGTCTTCTCATTTTCTCTTTAGCGTTCTTTTCAGAGGAAATATTTGTAGGAAAAATATTTAATAACTACCACGATTTTTACTTTTTAAGATGAACTATGTCACATACATGAGCACATGCTGTTGTGAGTTTTGTAGTATGTATGCTACAAATGAGAAAATAGAAAGCTGCATACCCCTCCGTTTAGACCACTGGTCGTTACTCATGTTGTTTCATAGGTAGGAAGTAAAATGGTCTCCTATAAATGAAATTAAATCCAAAATTTTATCATTATGTCACCAAAGATCAGTACCATATACAGTGAGATAGGTAATGTTGTAATATAACTGATGTATTAATTCAACTTTTTCTTGTGACTTTTAGACATCCTGCTATATCATGATCATCACTATTGCAAATATTGCAAATTTGGCTAGTACTGCTACTGCAATCACAATCCAGAGGGATTGGATTGTCGTTGTTGCAGGAGAAGACAGAAGCAAATTAGCAGGTAATTTGTTTTCTTTTATAACAGATGGGTTATATTATGATTTACTTTAAATCAATAGTGATAAATGAGATAATGACTCTCCTCTCATTCATTGTTCCAGTTAGCTTCTGAGAATAATAAATTGAAGCATTCTTTTTTTTCTTTCCCACATTGTCAGTCTCAGTGCAAAGATTTATCTTACACTTATATAAGATTAATTTATAGGATAGTTAATTTTGCTTTTATTTTATGAAAACCTAGAAGATGGAAGAACAATCTCTTTTTATTCTGTTGTTTCTAAATGTTTCCTTAATCCTTAGAACATGAAAATCTGACATGGGGTAGATAACGTATCAGTCATATAATCGGTCTTATTTTTCTCCAAACGAAATGAAATCAACTAAATTTAATTACTTTAAAGTTGTAATCTATTACCTTTATTATATTATGTATGAGGTAATAGAATAGGTATTATTACAACTACTATTTAAAATATTATTACATGTGTACGTTTTAAAATTCAAGAGACAAAAAAGCATTTTGTTGTTAAATGCTGCGGAGTTGATTCCAACTCATGATAATGTTTGTGTAACAGAATGAAACATGTCCTGGTCTTCCGCCATTCTCTTTTTGCCTTATTAGTCTATTCAAAAAAGAAAAAAAGGCTTTTCCTACATTTGCTTATTTACGTTCTCACTATTCTTGCTTCTAAGAATGTGCTTCTTCCAAGACAGACTTATCCACTCCTCCGGTAGTCCATGGTATATTAAATATTACTATTCAATAGTCTTTGTCAGCATCATACTGTACATGTCTCAGTTCTTTGGTCTTTCTCATTCACTGTCAGCTTTCATATGCATAAGAAGTAACTGAAAATACCATGGTAATGTGGTTCAGGCATACCTTAACACTTAAAAGCAGTCTTTTGCAGCAGATTTGCCCAATGTGTAAGTCATGCTGCTTCCGTGGGCATTGATTGTGGTCTCAAGTAAAAAGAAATCCTTGACATCATCAATCTTTTCTTTGTTTTAACCTCAGAATTTATGCTATTTAAAATCCATACTTCAAAACAGGACACAGAACATCTTTCATTTAAGGGGTCAACAGGGATTTAACTCTGAGTTTTTGATACTATGAGGCAGTCTAAAAGTTGAGACAAGAAAAGGGAGGGGATAAAAGAAAGACAGAAGAGAGAGGGGAAAAGTACACCTGGAAGTGACTCCACCTGGTGCTGTGGAGGCCTATGATATTGTGTCTTTGTACACAGATGTAACTGCCTCAGTCAGGAAGAATTTAGATTTACGGAGGTTGACTTTTTAGGATTGCTGGCACAGGTTGTTAGAAGCTGCAAGCAGAGGGTTGGGCATGGAAGACTGAATCTGTTGTGTTTGTGTTTGTGTGAATGCATCCGTAGAGAGGGAAGAAGCAGAGGTATATGCATAAAAAAAGTAAAGGTCGTGAGCTGAATTTTAACTGTTCACATTTCTATTTAATACCCCACTGTTTTTTGATTTTGAAGCAGGTTTAAAAACTGTTAAGTTGTATCAGAGAATAAAAAACATGAGACATTTCCTGGAAGGAATTCCAGTGGCATCCGGCCAAAATACAACTGTCACCGTCCAGTGTAGATAACTTCAGAAAATACATTCTTTTTCATATAAAAAGATACTATTAATTGATCTATTAGCTAATTTGTTTAAGTACTTTATATTCTAATTGTTATTAAGTGCCATTGAATTGGTTCCGACTCATAGCAACCCTGTATAAGGTTTCCAAGGAGCAGCTGGTAGGTTTGAACCACCAACTTCACAAGTAGCACTCAAGTCCTCATCCTGCTTTATGCAGTGGGCTTTATTTTTCTAAAACATTCTCTATTGTCAGCATCCTTAGCCTGTCTAACTTGTTTGAACTCATTTCCTTTTCCCAGCCTTTTAACTCCCTCTGCTTCTTTACTTCCTTCTTTATTTCCTTTGTGAATCACTGTTTATTAATAGCTTCTAAGATTTTTCTTGTCCACCATTCTAAAGGAGAGTCTGCGACTAGGCTCGACCAAGTATGCTAGATAAATTTTATGTTTAAACTGATTAAAAATGGGCAAATCGCTAGGTGCTCTTTGTTCAGCAAATACCGTATTCAAATTTTTGTAATATTGAGATACAATTTCCCCTTTAGATGGTTCAGTGGTCAAAGTGCTTAATTGCTACCCAAAAGGTTGGTGGTTCAAAACTGTTATCTAATCCTTTAGGGAAAGATGTAGCAGTCTGCTTCCTTAAAGATTTGCAGTCTTGGAAACCCTATGTGACACTGTGAGTTAGAATTGACTTGATGACAAAAGGTCTGTAATAGCAAGTAGTTACTTAATGTCATGCTCTGGTCCCCAGATGTAGCTGAAAGCAGTTAAATTGGAATTTTATGAGCATGTATTTGTGTGCTTTTTATAAGAATAAATATAAATTTGTAGAGAGAATATGTTTGAACATTCAGAAGACTGATTCTTCTCTGTCTTGTTACCAGGAAAACAATTATATATCTATATATCTAAGGAGCTCTGGTAGCATAGTGGTTAC